AGATGCTAAAAAGTCTACAAAAAATACAAATAACAATAGGCAATCTAAGTAACAATTGGCCAATACCACTACCAAACTCAGGACACTCAGTTAATACCATCTTACACCACCTTAAAGGTTCATACAAAATAAAGAAAAGCCTCAACCTACTAGGATTACACACAATAGAACAATTCACAGGCAACACCCAAACAGATACAACTCCATGGTTTTACCTTCCACAAATAATACAAAAGATTCCACGTGGCAGAGAACCAAAATGGTTCGCCAAAGTAACTAACTTCATAAAAGAAAGAATTAAAACAAAAAGCATCACTTTACTCAAACCCAACTTTTATATATCACAAACAGCAGTAGTTAAAAAACAATCATGGATCTTTGAGCCAACACAACGCATAATTGTAAAAATAACATCAATAGTACAAAACAAAGCAATAATACACCACTGGGAGCTTAACTCTACTACCTATATGATAAAGTCCTGCCCTGGCTGCAAAATCAATGATCCAAAACTTCACAAGAAAAAATGCACCCTCACTAGACCCTCAACCAGTTAATCACTATACAAGTTGATTGCAAACACAGAATTCGATACAACTTTACTGACATCATAAATTACAATCATTCTATCAAAGCCAAAAACTCTACTACACCAAGAATCCTACCTAACAAACCTACAGCCAACCAAAAAGAATTAGCAATATACGAAGACATCAGCAACTCAATATATCCTACCAAAGCTGGTCAAATTCTTTGGCACACACATCAACAAATCTCAAAGAGAAGCACAATTAATATAATACTTACTTACTATAGCACAAACACCGCTGATAAAATAACACATACCACAACTTGGCATATACCTGAAACAAACATCAGACTTCATCAAACCACTCCAACATGGCCCTCTAAGAACAAAACCCGGATAGATGCCCTATCTAGCATAACACTAATTGTAAATGCAAACTCCAACCTCACAATCTACACAGCTGCCTTAAAGTTTATACAGCTTACCAACTACATTCTCAACATTCCAGCTCACAACATCACACCTATCTTTTCTACTCACTTATGGACTAATTGGCTTACATTTAAAGCACTTGTTGCTAAAAAAGATCTTACTATTAATATAGCTTTTATAGACCACACCTCTATTCACACCCAATCGATCAGTATATAGTTGCTATTGTTCTGTATTCATATTTTCGACAAGACATATACACAGCATACTGGCAACAAGCCTGCATCACGCATACACCTCGTCGATTTATTCGACATATCCAAAATACACAACATATAGCCAGATAGCATTCACAAAACAGAATGGAAAGATGGAACACCTACAGAACACTAATATCATGGGACACAATGCATAACTTTATTAACTTTCACGACAAACCAACAACTAGATTTACTCATCCTAAACAATCTCAGATCAAGGCTTTCAAAATTAAATTACTATTAGATAAACTTCCAACACTTCTCAATCTTAATACACGCAATCCCAAAAAATATCCTAGCCCAAACTGTCCAAGATGTGCAACAGCAATTGAAACCAATACACACTGGATTTTCTGTCCAGCAAATACCACAACAGCTGCTCAGATTATTCAACAGGCGATCACGAAAGTCTGTACCAAAGCAAAAGTCTAAAAACAACAGAGAACCAACTAGTTGATCTCATCCAAATAACAAATTCAGCTATACATAGCGACTACTCTCCAGATATCCTACTAGGAATTATTTCAGAAGCCCAAACAACTACAATCAACCAACTACTCAAAGTGGTCCAAAGAAAATATACACCTACCACACTGATTCCACATAAAATCGATAAAGCAATCTATAAAGACATCTGGATACCAAGATGCCAAAATGCAGCAAATCACAACACAACAACCTTGATATCTCAGAACCCACCAATTATCACAAGCAACCCAGTTACAAATACAGGCGAACAAAAAATAAAAGTCAAAGAAACATCCAAAAGAAAAGTCGAAATATGGTCTAAGTCATTCATCCAAAATAGTACATCACCAAAAAAATTTGCACAAATCGTAATCTAGGCGAGGCTTTGGCCCCTTTTGGTAAAGTTTGGGTCATGGATAAACTAGCCCAAGTCTTAGTTTTAGCTTTAGAGTATATGTCACACCTGTCTTTGTAAATGTATTCACATAACTTTATTAATAAATACTGAAGCAAGACCTCGCTTTCAAAAAAAAAAAAAAAATTCTAAAAAGCAAGTAAATAAATAACTAAATATATAAGTCTAGAAGACAAAACAACACCCATACACCACTAGTCCACACCTTTAAGTTAATAAAATCAAAAGAAAACAGAGCAACAAGAACTACTTAAGCAACAATAAAGAAAACACCAGACCTACGGGCTATTTCGTACTATTTACTCTTACTATCCAATCTCAACTTCAAATGAGTGAACACAATAGTAGTAACTGAAACAACAAGGGCAAAAAGACTTCTGTAGCCAAACATACACTGATACAAAAGCAAATAGACAACACACTCTTCTTCCAAGACCACCTTCAAACACCAAAAGTGGGCAATCCAGCTTATCCTCTCTAAAACTAATATAATATCATCACACTACAACAACAACAACAATCAACTCGTTCAAACAGGTTTTAACAACATTCAAACAGAGTCTCTGGGAAAAAACAACAATACAACGATTATTTTCCACAACAACAACCCCAATATTACAATATTAAAGAGATGGTTAAAGCCAGATACATTATGATATTATCTGATTTTCTGATTTTTTAATTAAAATCGATTAATATTAGGGTTGGGATTAAATTAAGTAATTTTTATAGTAAAATCGCATTTCTAATACTTTTACTTAGTGAATGAAAACTGGTTTAGATAGCCAATTTTTGTATTTTTCTGTTTTAGTCTTTGACATCTTACTTTGTTTTTTTCAGGCTGATCCGAGTTATATATCAGATAATTTTGTGATGTTTCTGGCTTTAGCCAATCCTCATATTAGGCAATACACCTCACCTCAACAATGATGTTACTCTTAGATCCCCAACGAACAACAACAATACAGCAACACCAACACACAATACAGAATCTGCAGCAAATCTCACTCAGCCCAATCTGAACACCATTCAACAGGAAAATCTAGTAGATACTGAAATGACTACTCTTATTACTGAATTAAAAAATATACAAACTGACAACAAAATGGAAACTGACACAGCCTCAACTATATTCGCATATCAAGAAAGTTCTAATATATATACATTCATATAGCCAAGTAACCAAACAAAATCTGATTAACAACACAATACAAATAGATGAGGACCCAACCCAAAAATGGCTAGAACACATACATAAAGAATTAACAAAAGAAATCACACAGCTCTTTGATAACAACACATGGTACTATAATAAACTGATTACCAGTTTTCAATCCAGGATAATTTACAGAAATTCATCCAATACAAAATAGCCACTAAACCTACTCAAAAACAAATTTCACCATGTATTCTTGCTAAATTTAAACATCTTGACAGAACATTCTTTCTAATCTTTACCAGAGCTAAGCGCTTTACACCACAACACCAAACCAAATACAAAGAGATGTTTTACAATGCTTTATAAAATTATAAAAAAGCTAACCAGGTCACAATAATCAACAGAGAAACAAGAGATATTATCCACCAGAAATTATAACAAAAACTATTTCTTGACTATATAACAAATACAAACTTCAATACCTGTCTTCTCAGATACATCATACAACTTATTAAATGCTATAAAGGTTTTACAAAAGACATAGAGTTAAATAAACATAAGGAAATCCAAAAAGCAGTCCAGGAGGCCTTCTCAGACAAACTTTAACAATTACCTAGTCACCCAGACGACATCTCTAAAAACATACAACAAATGTTACCTTTCATCCTACCTATAAAAAACAAAGCTCACACCAAAGCAGTAGTCACAGCACTTCACCGTATTTACTAATTTAATCAGCTACCTGAGGAATACTTTGCAAATCTGGATCTCCTTCCAACAAATTTAGCCAACCTCCACCTTGCAGTAAGAGACCTATTTCTCATTACTGATAGAAAATGCCTTAAAGACCTAGGCAAGTATAGAAGAAAACTTAGCCAATACTATGAAGTCAAAACAATTTCACCCAACTACTTTGACCTGCCACCACCAAAAACTCGTCTGCCCCTGGCATACTAAGACCTCAGCTCTAAACATAGAAACTACTTCTCACTTGACCCAAATGACTGTCATGATAATTCTTAAAGAATCATTGAAGCACTATGAGAAGATTATACTTTCAAAAACCTGCCCAATGATTACTACCAAGCAGAACTTCCCCT